GGTGCTCTATTTGACTATGGCCAGGAAAGTAGCATTTTAAATACATATTGATACTCATTATCACACAGCCCTTTGAAAAGAAGGGAAACGCTTGAAATGAATTAGAATTATCACAGATAACTCCAATAATAAGGGTCATGGGAAAGTAGAAAATACTGTAATTTTCTATTCCACAGTATACATTTTATTGTAGCTGTGCCCAAAATACTGTCTCATAATTACTATTTGTAGTCCATTCTTATTTGCAAATCATTGAATACATACGCTCCTATTCGCTAACAGGGAGTGGCCTTGTAAAGGAGGCAGAAAGGCGTGGAGAAGCCCTGCCACTTACTTCACCTCATCTGGCGCCAACATCCCTTCCATGTGACGCTCCAGTAAAACTGTCCTAGTTCCCATTCTCTGAACTCAACGTGCTTGTCTCATGTGCAGACTCTTCGCACAGGGAGTTACCTCTGTGAGAAAGTCTCCCTTCCCCTATCTAGGGAAAGCATGATGGGTCCATTCTTCAACCCCTTCCTCAGGCCATGTTCAAATCTTTGAGAGACTTGGTGGGGCTGAGCTTTCCAGGACACTTCAACAGAGCCTCGGGTATTTGCCCAAATCCTCGTGGCCATAGCTAAGTCTGTGAAAAATCCATGGGGTCTGTAGAACTGAGACAACCCCTTATTATACTTAATTAGATCAGCTCCTATCATTGAAACACACACACACACACACACACTCTCTCTCTCTCTCTCTCTCTCTCTCTCTCTCTCTCTCTCTCTCTTCCTTCCTTGAACAAGAAAAACAATTTATATAATTTTACTCCCCCTGTTTACTTATTTGGTTTAAATAAGGACGAACAGGAGCAACTTTTCAGACTTGAAAGATGAGCGACAGTACCTGGGCATGGGGGCGGAGCACAGGGGACTCCCACAGGAAGACAGGATGTCTGAGGAGCTAGAAGGAAAAGCCATCTTGCTTCCAGGCATGAAAAATGGCTCAGTGTCCATTCTAGATCTCTGGATGGAGCTGAGGAAGGGTGGGATATGTAGGAGGCGAACACCAGTTTAAATTGTTCTAGGGGTCCAATAGTTCCCTGATGTCCATGTGAGAAGCTGGTATATGAGGCTCATTTAAGGTTTATAAAGAGAACAAGCCCTGGGTTAACACAAGACCTGAGCACACTGCCAGATATAGTAGCTGCACATAAAATGTGAGTTCCATTTTGAATAAATTAATGAAATAATTCTTGACAATGAGAAAATTGTGGTTTAATAGTTTTTCATGTAAAAAAAAATTAGATGAATCTATAATGCCATACATTTTTCAAGTGAAAAAAATTCAGTAATCAGTAAGCTTGAAATTCAGAGAAAAGTAAATATATAATTTCCACTATTTTTAATCAACTCTTACAGAAACCACTTATTTTTTATTTCAATATCACTAAGAATTCTGAGTTGGATTAGTTAGGCACGGGAATGTCTTAGGAGACTGTGAAAAATTATAATTTTTCAAAATGAGTTTGGGGTGGAAATAAAAATTAGGCAGATGTATAACCAGGTAATTACCCCAATATCTATTATTTACTCAAAATTGTGTGGAGACGGAGGGTAAGAAGAAAGTGTGAAGCAACACATGCTAACACTAAAGAATTTTAGCATGAAGAAAACTGTGAAATTTTATTTCCATTTATTTCTATGTAGCTATTCTCTGTATATTATAAACACCATAGGTTTGTTTAAACTTGACCTTTTTCAATTAGCAGAGTTTCAGATAACCTGTCCTAATACTTATGCATTATATTATAATCAGTTACTAATCATTAAACTTCGCAGAACTATATTGCTTTGGCTCATGTTTATCTGTTACTGTAGAGTATTTTATTTTGCTTTCTAAATCTATTGGTTCTGCCCCAATATGGCAGATATACCTCGACATGAAGATAAAACTTAAACATCAGATCCATCTTCCACACTGGCAACGTTAGAGTAAATGTAAGTAGCCATGTTAAAAGTAATAAACCATTGCTCATTTCTTAGTCTAAATTATTGTTTGTATACACGGCATGTTTTACCAAACTCAACATGATACATAAAATCGAGTTAGCACTGAATACCTGGCTTTCAAGGAATTTCTTTAGAAGCCCTGCACTTAACTGAAATGTGATTTTCTGACCCTTGATAGTTGGATGAGCAACTGGATTCTACACTTTACAGAAGTTCAGAATGAACATATTTTGCTCATTAATTCTTCAATTTCTTACTGGATATTTATGCCACACCAGTAAAACTGTGAAACCCCCCACCATCAGTGTTTCTCGAGGTGCTCCTATGCCCTGAGTGTGCTTAATATTCCAAAACAATCACTGACATTATGTGAGAAAACAGGTAAAAGAGGGGAAACAACAAAAATTAAACAGTATTCTATATGAGAAGTGACTGGAGAAAATAAAATTCATTTTTAGTTGCCACAAATGTAAACTGAAAATAACACAATTTTGGTCTGATATTTGGTACAAGAAATTATTAAAATACATTGCTAACTTCTCATATAATACTAATTGATAAATATTTACCAGATATTAAGTATTTATTAGGTGCAAAACATCACTCAGGTTGCTGTGCAGGGGTACAAATCTCTAGTATCAAAAATTTTAAATCCATTAATCTCAATGTTTAAAGGATTCAGAATGTTTTTGTTTGTTTTTTTAAATCTTAATTCACTAGACGGGAGTGATTTCTTTTTTTAAATACCTGAATACAATACACTAAATCCGAACCCACTGACTGACATCTCTGTGACTTATTTCTGCATTTATGTTTTTTTTTTTTGTTTTTTTTTTTAGCTGAGCCATCCTGCTACCTGTTGGCAGCTCAGCGGCTGCTCAGCTCGGGCTGGACTCGAACCGCTGTTGCTCAGAGCTCAAACTCTTGAGCGAGTTCTTAACCAACTGAGCCACTCGGCCGGACCTATTTCTGCATTTAGACAAGAGTTTTCATCCACAACAATATTCAAAGTAAATTATAAAGTGCTGCTAATGAGATTTTTTTTGGTATGACCTTTTAATAATATTTTCATGCATCTAATAACACCGTAATTATACAAATAACTAATGGATATTATATATTTAAAAATAGTAAAGATCCAGAACAATTACTGTTAACATTTTCACATTATTTTTCATGCAATGAAAAATTTGATATAAATGCAACTTATTTTTTATAAAATTTTACTCTACATAAATATACAATTTTCATCAATTTAAAATAGGGTTTATAAAATTTTGGATACTGTTTTTTTACATAATATTTTTATAACCCTTTCCCAAATTATGTGTAGTTAATATGCTAAGGAAATGTCACATCATTTTAATGATACACAAATTCCATAATATGGCAACATCACCAATCATTTAACCTTTTCCTCTTTTGTTGAACATTTTATAATGTTTCCATATTTTTGCTGCACTAATAATATCTTTGAGATGTTGAGAAAAATCAAGGTCAAGCCCTTATTTTACTCAAAATAAAGTCTAACAGATATGGATCGTTACCTATAACAGCAATAACATTTATGTTATATTTATATTATTGCAAATTATGATTAATTTTCACTTCATAGTTTTTTCATGAGTTTTATGCTTTGATATTAAATGCATTTTTAGCCAGTTTTTTTTATAGATTTCTTTTTAACAAATTATTCTCTAAAATAACTAGATATAATCTTAAGGAATCAAGGATATTATTTTTCTAATACTGAAACAAATATCTTATAATACACACACACGTATGTGTTTCATTATTTATGGTATCTCATTATATGAAATAGATGTAGGTGCTCATTAACAATTTCCATATATATTTAAAAATTCCTGCATATAAACAGATTGATTTCAGACAAACCTTTGAAAAATCTGAGTAGCAGTATACCTTATCGTGTTCCTTCTATTTTAGACAACAAAACAAAATATTATATTAACAGTTGTCCAATCGTAGTTACTATAACTTTTTTACTCAGATTGTCACCAACTGAGCTTAAACAGCAGCTGTCCACTGGAAATAACTGCAGAAATGTTTTGCCCATTGGCCTGATATCAAACATATGTTTTCCTATAACTAAAAGAGAACTTTTTATTGATGTATGTTAATTATTGAGAGTTAATTACAGAGTTATACACCTGGACTGTCAAAGACTGGCAGAAAATCCCAGCATTTTGGGGGTGGGGATTTTCATAAATATCTTAATTTTTTGTGTTTTGAAAATTTGAAATCACTATATTCTGTAATAATTCCTTTTGCTACTTTTTAAAATTTAACATTTGTCAAGAGCATGTCTATACAGAGGAGAGGGAATAAACGCCTCATTTCCCGCCACATCTGATCAGCATTGGGAACTAATTTAAATACAACATGGCAACTAGTCTTCAGTTTGGATGATAATGATTTTCTATCGCCTTTGCTGACACTGAAGGGTTTATGATAGGGCTCCCAAACTTTCATGCTCTGTATGAATTCTTGAAGCACTTCAATTAGTATAAATTTTAAAAGAGAAAAATTGGTAATGTAGCAAGTTTTTAGCATTTTGGTTTCTATTTCCAAGTTTATTTAGGTTATTTTCTTGTACGTAGAGTGCGTGTCTAGTTTGCTTATAAAAGCTTTTGGTTGATTTTAGGGTTTCATTACTGGAAAAGTCAACAGAGAAGCATAATTATCTCTCCAAGTATCACTTATAACAGCACATTTCCCAATGTGCCTTAATGTTACAGAACTATAGATAAGGGTTGTTGGTTTACTCAAAGAATAAAATCAATAAGGTTATTACACAAATCATTCCAGTTTCCTTAAGATTCTGACACCTAACAATAAAAGCACAGCTTTTCTTCTGAAATTTAAAACAACGATTCCACATATGGCTATTCAGTTTGTCTAAAACATTGTTCCATCAAAGCAGACATGGCTTCTCACTCAATAGAGTAATCTCTGTGATGCTACCGTCAAAGAAAATAAAAATATTACCTTCTGTATAGTAATGATTCCTTCCTGTGTGTCTTTGTCAACGGAAATCTTGAAAACCCCTAATCCATCACCATCCACAATTTTGTATTCCATTTCAGCATTGGCTCCTATATCTGCATCGACAGCTTTAATTCTGGCCACAACAGAGGCCACTGGCAATGATTCTGGGACATTATATTGGTAAGATCCTGAAAAATTCAAAACAAAAAACATGAATAAAACCTTGTATCAAGCTAACCAAGAACAATGTCACTATTCAGCTATTTTGCATCATCTATGCTTAATATGTTTTTATTTATTTGGTAAAGAAGATGCTGAAGCAATTTGAGACATAGAACAAGTTTCACAGAGCTTCAAGTTATTTCATGGGGATGAATAGATAATAACCTATATATGACAGCTGACACACGCCACGGAAAAGCAAGAGAAGAATTTCCATCCCTGTGTTTCTAGAGAAATATGCTACTTTAAATACAATAATAAATTTAACTATACATATAATATATAACCACTGAATGTAAATAATTATAATTCATATAAATATTACAAATAAAAATAGTATAGCTTAGACTTCAATCAGCAAATACAAGCCTAAATAGTTCTGATTACTTAATGCTGGAATTTACGTACTAGTTTCTTTTACTGAGAAAGTTTCAGAAAATTGGACAAGGGAGTTTTTGGTTTTGTTGTTTTGTTTTTCTTTAAAGATTTTTATTGGGGGGATGGGAACAGTACTGGGGAATTGGAAGAAGGGGAACAGACAAGTTGCTGTCCTTTTGTTCTTCAATCTAGTTGTGGAGGACATTGCTTCACTGGCCCAAGCTGGCACCATCATTGTGCTCTTTCCGGGCGAGGCAGATCAGTTGCCGGCCTCTGGACGGCCGCTCACTGTGGCTGTTGGCCACTCACGCTGGCTGCTGGCTACACACGGTAGCCCATGGCAACCCACTGCCACAGGGGCTGCAGCCTACACCATCGCCAGCGACCCACGGCAGCCCAGCTCCAGGTCGAGCTGTTGTTCAGCATCTTAGCTGTGGAGGGCAGTGTCACTGGCCCTCATATGTGGGATCCGAACCGGGCCCTCTGGCATCCCAAGCCAGTTCTTAACCATCGCGCCACTCGGCCGGCCCAACAAGGGAGTTTTTAAAAGACAGTATCAGTCTTGTTTTAGTTCATAAATTTACTGAGGATAAACATTACTTGTGTGAGCTGTAGGTAGGGCTGATTTAAGGCACAGTGGTGTAAGAGCAAAGGCAATATTATTTAAACAGGAGGAAAGAGAAGCAAAAAAGGGAAGAACTTTTTAAAAAAGTTTCTTTTGTAAAAATTGGTCTTTAACATCCCTCGACTAAAAAAATAAAATGTGGGGAAAGTTAAGAAGTACATGAACCATCCTCTAAAAACTAGGAAACCCCTCAGAACAGTATGCTCCTTTGCTATTTTTCTCTAATCATCTACTTTTTCCTGATTCCTCCACCCTATTCCGTTTCCTCTTGGTTGTTAAATGTGGTGCATATTCACTTTATTATAAAGAGAGAAGGATTCTCTCGGGAAGGAATACAGAAACGAAAATGTATCATATGAAAGGATCACATGTTAGGCTGAGAATTGTTGCTGTTTGCAATTTTCTAAATTTCGTGGCTACTGATTTTTTTTTAAATGATTACAACATATACTTAACATTTTTGAGTGACCTTTTTCACATACCCAGAAGGGCCCTTAGTAAAATCTAAAATGTTCAAGGTTAGAATAGTAACCAAATGATAGAGAAAATCCCAGCAAAAATGAAACCCCTAATGACAGCTCGTGGCTTGCCTCACTTTAAGAAGCCGAAGAGGATCTAATAGGCTAGAAAAGCTGTGCTCTAACTTATCAAATCATGGCAACAGAAACCACAAAAAGTATAAGTATCAATTCTCATCACTGTAGGCTCAAAGACAAGAGGAAGTGTTAATTTTATTATGAGCACAATATAATTACATTATTGTTTGTATGTTTTTAATTCTCCAATGCTCTCCTCCCTTGTTATAAACCCTCAAGAAGACATTCAACTATAGGTTCATTTTTTTTTCATGCTAAACTTAGGAAGTTTTTCGTTTTGCCAAGGGGTATTCAAATGTCTGTTGTATAATAATATAAATACTAAAATATGTAAAATACAAAGAAATATCTAAAGAAGCAGTATTTGAAGAAAACCCAGTGACGTTCACACCTGCAAAGAAAGCTTCCTTCTTTGACATTGTTCGCTTCTAAGATCTGTTTGTAAGAGAGATTGGTTCCCCATTTCTATCAAACAAGCATTTTAAAGACATTGTAGTCTGTACAATTTCCTTACATTCATGAGCATTCTAAAGCAGTACTATGTACACTTACAAAAAAGAAAAAAGCAATTAAAAGAGTGAGATGAAATGCTTTTTTTACAATCAGGACATCCTTACCTACAGAATTCTTTTCTCCTTTTGTTTTTTTGGTTAAGTCAAAAGCCACTTTGGTCAAAGAAACTAAATTGAGGGCATGTGGTTTTCTGGGGTTTTTTTACTGGTTTCTTTTGAAACGCTGAGTGTTTGCTCAAGAAAGATGTGGTGGGATTGCTAAAGGAATCTTCATTGTGCATGAAATGGTTAAAAAGTATGTTGAATAAAAAACGAAAAAGTTCAGTATTCTTTTATTTTGATCTTTAAATATGAAGCAATATTTTTTATATTACTAATTGGCAGCAACCACATAACTTACAGAATGTTTAAAAAAATAAGCCTTAAAATAAAAAAGATTAATATATAAACAAATGTAATAACTGTCGAGCATTCAAATAATGTGAATGAAAGAAGAACCATATTATATGTTAAGATAGAAGTAATACAAAGATATGATTGTTTCTATTTATTTTCAGTAGCTTTATTATTCTATATTTCTGAATTAAAATCATGCCCTTGAGAAAATAAAATTGTGGGAGAATGTAGCACGATAATTATTTGTTTGAGAAGACTCTGGAGAAACTCCTTTTTAAAGAGTTTTACAGACTCGCAAGGAAAGCTAGGGCACTTGTGACACTGAACAAAACAGCATACTTACTCCGAGGAAAGCGAGGTGGGTTATCGTTGACATCGGTTAGGGTCACGGTGACCGACGTGGTCCCTGAGAGTCCTCCGTTTTGACCAACCATATCCTTTGCCTGAATAACAAGCAAATACTGGTCTTTAGCCTCTCTATCCATGTTTGGAAGGGCGGTCTTGATGACTCCTGTAAAATTTCAAATCCCAGTAAAAGGCATCATGATTCACTGAATTGACACTAGTGAAGAACACTGACATAGGCAGCAAGTCGCTCGTGAAATGTTGCCTTTTGGTGTTTTGTGTATTTTTAATCGTTTCCATGCATATGAAAGACCACAGGGACACGACACTGATATCCAATATTACAAAACACAGAAAATGCTGAAATGCAGAAGAGCAGGGCTTCTTAACATTGGGTAGAGAGAATTATCTTTAGGTTTTATGGAAAGATGGTCCAGGAATACCAACTTTTAAATAAATAAAATGAGCTCCTTATATAGAGTAACGGGCAGTCACTGGTACAATATATGACAATGAAGCTCTCCTTTCTTTCTTTCACCCTCTCCAGCAACTGAATTCCTGGTGACATCAAATAACCATAACCCCTTCAGCTACGGTCCCTCCTAGCTCTCTTTCAGGAAAATCATTTAAGGGCTCTACAAAGGAAAGAATGAGAGCTGTGTATGTTTAATGAGCAAAACACCACTTCAAGCTGTGGCAATGATGCTGGTGGAACGTATGCTGTACCTAAAGGTCTGAGGAAAACTATTAAAGATGAGACTCAACACTAAAAATATTGATGTGTTTTAATGTTGTTCGCTTCTAATCAATTGAATTTAATAGTGAAAGCCCTTAAGAATTAAGATGTATGACAGATGGATTTCAGATTTTCCTGTTGTTTGATGGGGAAGCTTAATTCAATAATCACTGTTGCAGTGAATTAATTATTTTATATTAATAACTGTAAGTTAATTATTATGTGAGTATATTATGCAATAATATCTAATTATGGGACGGATTTTAGTTTAACTATACAAAATGACATACATACATACATACATAATACAATATACTTAGTATATGTTCATCTAGATAATATTAAGAAAATGTATTTATTTAATATTGATCTATATAGACCTTGAAACTAGCAATATGTGACCATATGTACTAATTAAATATAAGGAGTCTAGGTCCTATTTAATCATTTCTTGCACTTTCATCTTTTACAACAAAGACAAGGCCTGACCTATGTACCTAGGCCCCTTTTATTGTCTTAGTTTGAAAAATGTCTCATCTATTTAAGTAAACATATTCTAATATTTAGGGGGAAATCAGGATTTACTGAGGAAGAGGAATTCTGGTATCACAGACTTTTCAGGGGCAAAATGGGTTTTTTTGATAGATGATGATTATTTGGGAAGAAACTATATGTAAATTGGGTAACATTCTTTTTCCCTCATGTTCAGCATAAAAATTATTTCATATAGTCCAAATTTATAATTTTTAAATTTAATTTTAAATTGAAATTGTTTGAAGACTGATTCTTCCATAGACACATAATGGTCTGTGTATGTTATATATTTCAGCTCTAAGCATAAGTTATAAGCCTAGGTTATGCTACACTAGTCCTGCCCTATGCTTCACAATATTCTATAGTAACTGTTCTACTGGTGCGGAACAGATGACAAAAGCTTTTCAGTAGTTTAAGAATAAGTTAAACAATGCATTACTGGCTCCTGAGATTCCAAAATGTATTATCGATTCCTACTATCTTAAGCAACCACATTTTTGTTTAGATCCGAGCTCTAGGTATCAAATACACACAAACACACACACACCCCAACAATAACACATCAATATTTTAAGTATTTAAGTTATATTTCTTTGAGTAGATGACTTCTGTTGTTGTTAATGTTGTAACAATCACTTATTCTAACACATTTACTGTTTTGGACACACTTGCTCGAGTCACAGTAATACAGGGTCACTTTATCTCCTTCACTGAATTCTTTTGGTTATCTACACACAGCTTGTAGCTAATTTTTGAAATACCATGATGAAAATCAAAAGAAACATAGCATATATCCATTTGACTCTGTTGATAATTGTTTGATATAAAAATATTCCTAGAACCATAATGATTCTATGACTATTTCACGTTGGTTTTTCAGTACTTCTGTTAACTATAACATGTAACACAATGAGCGCTGGCCTAATTAACACCCTGCAACCATGCATCAACAGTCTGTGTCTAAGAGCTCTGGGACATAAAGGTCCACCTTTTTCTTTCTTATTCTTTTTTTAGATGTTAATCATCCTGGATTGATTTCTAATGTTTTTCTTATAAATTGAGCATGGACCAGCTTAAATGTCTGACCAAGAAGAGTATTTCATCTAGATGACAAAATAGGAACGTTTTTAGAAAACTTTCCTGCTCATTCAATTTTAATTTTTAATTTCTATTCATTTCTCATTTTCCTCCTAATATCAATATATCTGAGTTTTTACCCTTGCGCATTTATGATAATAGAGAGGGTCCACAGCCTCTCAACTAATCAGCAAAGAAAACACTGCAGCCTCATCCTCTCATGGATTTGCTTATTGTCATTATTTTTGAAAGGGAATGTAGAATTATTAGGCGAGAAGTCCAACAGTCAAAGATACTGACTTATTTTTCACACTTTTAATTGTCTCTTTACAAGTGATCCTATAAATAACACTTTTTCAAAGCAAAAACCATGACGAAGTTTGCAAAGTAATGCAGATGGCAAAGGTAATTTCTAAATACCTTGAGTATTAAACATATTTTTGACAAGAATAAAATAATTGGAAGAGAACTGAATTTAAATAAGGACATTCAAAAATATTATCTTTCTAGTTCTATGACTTTTGCTAGTTTTTCGCTTTTAAGTATAAACTATATTTGGAAAAGTCACTGGGTTTGATTTACATTTTGCTAGGTATTATACAGACACACACATTAGCAGTGTGGCTGTGACGTGGGAAAGGCCAGCCTTGTCTTGTTGGATCCCTCCAGTCCTGTAAAATTTTATGGAAGGTAGTAATATTTAATTTCAATCATCAATAATTTTAAACTACTTATGATGCGAAGACTATATCCTGTAGCTCTTTAGAAAAGAGACTAACTTGGATTTTAGCCTTTCGAAACAATAATTTTTCCTCTGACGCAGTACCCCAGAACATTCGTTTATTTATAATCCATGTTCACAAACAAGTATTGTACATATGAAACATAAACTTATCACTGTTATTATTCAACAACTGCCTGGTTTTTAGTCTGGAAATAAATTTTGAGATGATTCTCTAATGTCCTACCAGCCATCAATTTGTTTTTGTTTTTGTTTTTTTAGCATATTCTGTTACCCCAGAACAGGGGTCAGCAAACTGTAGCTCACAAGCCACATGTGGCTCTTTGGGTACGTTCCATCTCAAAAGTTTGCCGACCCCTGGAAGAGCCAATCCTGTCCCTCACAACAATTTAAAAATCATTCGAGAGTCTTTAATATATTTTTACATAATCACCATTATGTGAATAATATCCTCTAGAATTTTTATACATGAAACTATGATAGTTTTATTTTCAGTTTCAATTTTACTTCAGAGCCACATGTATGTACCCAAGAAGCCACATGTGGCTCGCGAGCTGCAGTTTGCTGACCCCTGGTGGCTCTTCCGTCTCAAAAGTTTGCAGATCCCCTGCTCTAGAATCTTCTTAGGAATGTGTATGTGTAGCAACCCAGTGTATGGAACCAAGCAATCATGGGAGCCTGCAATCTGTTAACCCAAGCTTTGGATTAGTCTCAGGAGTCTAGACAGTCACATGACCCAGGTAACACAGGGCTGGGTGGATTCATGCTGTGTGGGTTCAATAAATATATATATATAATGTGCAAGGTGAGCCTCTTCCAGTAATTTGTATTTCTTTCTAAATTTTCTAAGCCTTGTATTATTGGGTTTGACTACATGTAAGTGAAGCATATAACAGAACCATAAAAAGACAGAGAAGAGTCTACAATAGTAAACATGGAAGCTTCTAGAACACAAAAAAATTCCAGAGCGGCATCAAATAGAGATTCTGAGGAACAGCGTCTTGTAATCTGTGAGAGGGTGTCCTCAGCAAACCCCCACAGGAGTAAGGTCCTCCACCCCATGAGCCATGCCACAGAATAGCACAAGTGTGTAGGGCGTATTTGCAAGGAGGGCTTTTGCTGGATTACTTACATCAAGTTATGAGGTAACAAATAAACATGCAATACAGAATGCAAGCACCATGTAGTCGTGCCTCAATGTTTATGAAAGAATCCCAAACGACAAGTGATATTTAACACTCAATCCATTTTCCAGGGCCAGCTTCATGGCCTCGTGACCTGTGCAGTCACACTGGCCCCACGCTTGGCTTCTTGCTATGCTGACGACTTCTTGAAATTCCTACTAATGTTAGAACAAGGAGCCTGCGTTTTCATTTCGAACAGCACATTAGACAGCCAGTCTGGTCACATATGAAATAGATAAAAATATGAGATCTATTTGTGTGCAGGTTTACAGAATAGATGAATGCATTATAGTAATCCTCAGTCTCAATAAATTGGGGGACACTGGGAATATAGGCGATAGGAATCTTCACAGTCCTTTTAATATTGCATCATCTTGTTTCTAGTGCCATTCCACTTTCTTACTGAAGTAAATTATCAACATTGGTTTTGTCAGCTATATGCGTTCTTGTTTCATGGATGGAGAAATTAAGGTAGAAAATACAGTTAACCTCTGGCCATTCGGCCTGTTAGCAGCACTACAGATAGATATGGGCTTGGAGGTTTCAGCCATACTAGGTTAATGGTATGTGATTAATAAATAGCAAGAGTTATTATTAATATTATCCTCAAAATAAGAAGAGTAAATTTCACATTAATCTCTCTTAAAAGAAAAAAAGAAATCAGAAGTTAAACAAATTTATAGAAATGTGCACAGTGATTTCCTGGTTCTTTTTTTACATAATCTTGATATAGCTTATTTTCAGCAGTTTTTTGTGTCAAAGTTTTACTTTCTACTAAAAAACCCTAGGATTTAGAGATGAAAAACATAATGGGATGAAGAAAACAATGTTACTTCTCACAGAGGTAAGAACCATCCTGACACCAAGTAAGGCAGCCTAACTCAAATTTAATTTACAGCTCTTCAGGCCCTCCACATCTGAAAAATTTTCCATTTTTGTTACAAAAATACATTTTTTCCCCAAAAATTGCATTCTCCACTTTATGAATTAGCAGAGACAACAGAAATTCCCAGAATATCTCTGCACTAATGACTATAGGAGAAGTTCTAATGATTACAGCACTAAAAACTCTAAACAACACAAAATTAAACTTTATTCATCTCTTGTAATACACGATCCTTGAGAATCTGAAAATTAAATTAAGTTTGAAGGACTAATAATGTGATCCCACAAAATAGATCATTGCCCACTTAATCAGGGAGGCCTTATGTATGCAGAGCTTCTGAAAATTTATCTTACAAAGAAGTCAAAATCACAAGACAGTCATTAATAGCAGCAAAATATTTAACCCTCAGGACTGGCACATGCTATTTTTAGACAGGTTATATAACACAAGAGTGTATAATTTGTGAGCAAATTGTCAGACACTTGTCAATGTCTTTCGAGGCGGCAAAGAGTAGATACATCAGGGAATTGGGTGGGTGTCTGAATTTAGGTTTCCCAAATCTATCATTAAATCAGCCTCACGCACACTTTCTACATTCACATGATTCATATCACAGATAGGATACTTTCATTTGCTTCTCCTTTAATACTTGCTTAATCAGAACTATTTCTTCTCTACTAGACTTTCCAGGTGCTTTCCGAACTCAGCCACCATAATGGCACAGAATATGCAATGCCGTCTCTACGAACATTCTAACGAATGATGAGCCAGGATTAAATTTACGTCTCTGTTCATGCATGATTACAACTGTCATTCTCAAAAGACATTTAAAATATTTATCCCCCACAGGGATTTGAGAATGAATTAAATGGCCACATTTGAAAAATATGAACAACAGAATAAACGGCATTAAAATACTCATTTAGGATCATAGGTACTATTAAATATTCATAATCACTAACTTGGCTATTTGAAGAAGAATTCTCCATGATAAAGGCAAAATTATTAAATTATAGAAAAATTTTGGATTTTCACACGGTGATGAAGAAAATCCATAGCACACACCCACCCATCTTCACACTTGCCCACTCTTCCCCGCCCACAGAAACAGACACACAGAATATATAAAATATTATTTGATAACCAAGATAGTAGCGCTCCAAATTTACTCTTACTTAATGTAAACTATTTCAGCTTCAAAGCAAAACAGGGCATATAGCCAAACAAGCACATATTCTATCCAGGCAGTTTTATAACTCATCTTTTTTTCTTCTCCTAAAATTAAAAGCATAGTCATTTAATTTCATTTTGATTTAGCAGATCATCATCCTGTTGGTTATGTTTAAACTAATTTCCCTGAAAAATCCAGCCTCTGGAAGGAAAAGCTGAACCTACCATCTATTCTACTGCAGGGCAGGGAGATTTCTGCTTGAGAATTAAATTTGATTGTGTCTAAGTCCTATGTGAATTCATTAAAGAAACCGAAAATAAAATTTAAAGGTGAATAATCAACTTTTCCTTACTAGAGTCAGGAGATAACAGTGGAAATGCTTTTGAATATAAAATATGTTACAGGTAGGAACACTGATAAATATAACAAAACCTTCTTAAAAGGTGCTGTTGCCTCTATAAACAATATGCTACTTCCTACCATAATACACATATTGAGAGAAGACCATAAAAATGGTATGAGTGCCAACTATACTAAGCAAAAATAACGAATCACTAATAGGCCAACCCAGCAATAGCGACTGTACAAGGAGCGTCGCATTTCAGAGTTTACCTGTCTTGGGCTCCACCGAGAAGTATGGCTGGCCCTGCAGAATGCTGTAGACCACTCGGGCGCTGTTGCCGTAAGTAGGATCATCAGCGTCCGTCGCTGTCACTTGTACCACGGAGGTCCCTACAGACCAGCCCAAAAACCAATGCATTAAAAACTTCCAAATGCCACCAAACATAAGAACTCACAAAATGCTGACAACTCCACATTGAGTTTGTTTTTAATTTTGCATTTTTCTTGCTTCAAGGCCCATGAAAATTATATATATATATATATATATATATATATATATATATATATATATATATATATATATATATATGCAATAACACAAAGCCGAAAAGGTAATAAATGTTAATTAAGCCCTCAGAAATATTTAAGGGGTATGAAAATAGGTTGGAAAAAATATAGACTTGATGATGCACGTTGGACTTAGATATACTCAGAGTTGGATGGAACTCAAATTTTTGGCATCTGATCCATCAGGGTCAGGTAACAGGTTTTTATCAAGTGTAATCTCTGTATGTCTCAATTACTGTCCAGATGGCAGCGTAACAAATAATAGCATCTTGACACCCAAATCATTGAGGGAATCTCACTATTGTAACTAAGTAGAGCCAGACAGAAACAAACTTCTTTAATTGAAAAAAAGAATGTTGGATGAATACATTTAACTGGATATTAGTTAGCTACCCTATCTCTTCAGTAATAGTTTTATTTATTTTTCATTTGTTTCCACTAATTGATTTAAAGTCAAAACATGAAATACAAATTTAAACCAATCCTCAAAGGAGGAAAAGCATGACAATTTTGATAATTTAATAATTAGTTGTTTTTCTACATTTCATATGATAGAATGTCATATTGTTTCTTCATTTTATCACATATTTACTTATTCCCTGTTTGAAGCTTTTATTGTGCTGTTCTTTTTATTTCCATTTAGAATTAATCTTATAAATATTAGACACTCACATTTGCTTAGTTTATATTGTTGAGCAAATGCTATCTGAACATTTATGTCTTAGCTCATGGAGATGGGAAAAGTTCTCTTTTTAATGTATTCTTCTAAGGTTCAAGTTTGGCTCTAATAATTTCTTGAAAATGCTGTATTTTTTAATGTAACACAACTTTTAGATATATTCCTACATAGATCTCTAAAACAGCTAATGTTGTTGAATACAAACATTGAGAAGTACTTTTCTTTCTATTTTTTGCAATAATGGGACAATGTCAAAGGGCCTTTAAGCAAAACAACTCTCATCATTCTTTTTTAGATATCTCACACTGAGGCTCACTCTACCATTATAATAAATTCAATATAAATATTCATGCACTTAAGTTTCTGGAGAAATTACAAAAAGGCTAGTAGTGGCACGTGGATGGACATTTGTGACGTCAAGAAGGCTCTACATCAAGAAGACCCGTGGATCCAAATGCTAGGCTGGCTAATCCACTGATGACCTGCCTCATATGTTGGCCACAGAGAGATGCATAGATCCATCATCCTACCATCCGGACCAAGAAATATAAAAGATCATCATCACAGGTCTGTATCTGGAAGCATTTTCTTCCTGAACTTCGTAAGCATCATTTGAATCATTTTTTAAAATGAAATGGAAAAGAGAATCATTTTTTAAAATGAAATGCAACACCTAAGCAATTTCCTGAAGATATGGAGACAGCTGTGTAAATGGACATACTAGTTCCTAATTTTCCATAAAATATAATAACGTGTTGAAGAATTGGATTTGGGTACTGGCTACTGACACGTCTCCAGCATTCCCCTCAGCCTAACTGGCGATTGCTATACAAATACTATGTGGTTCTTTGTTGTTGTTGTTGTTGTTTTCCAGGACTTACAATGATTTAATTTTAAATGCAAACCATCAAAATTCAAACATTGCAAAAGCAGCATGTTCTTGACTTACCCACAGGAGACATTTCAGGCACCCCTGCGGTGTACGGGCCATCCAAGAATTTGGGTTCATTGTCGTTGATATCCTGGATCTTGATGACGAACTCGGACTCCGGCTCCACGGGTTTGTTGGTGAGCCTGTCCAGTGCCTGGGCTCGGAGCGTGTAGTAGGCCTGCTCCTCACGATCCAGCCTCTTGGTGGCGTGAATATCCCCCGTGTTCTCGTCAATAATGAAAATGGAACTCGCCCCTTCGCCTGACAAGATGTATTTGATGGAACCATCTCCTTTATCAACATCAGAGTGAAGCTGGTGAAAAATTCATGTGAGATGAGATTAACTTACAGGAGGGTCAGGGATATGGAGATATGTCAAAATAATTCTTAGGTCACGCAGCAGTGCATGAAATTTTATTGTTCTTGGGAAGATAAGCTGATGTGTTGTGCGCACAGCAGAAAGGCTATTAGAATGTGTCAGCTTACACGGGCGAGCAAGACAATTTCATTGCTTCCGGTAAACAGTTTCATCTCCAAAGGAATTTTAAATCATTCCCAAAGTTAGGGACTTGTATTATTTGTGATCTGGTCTGTCCTTGCCAGTTTTGACCATCTTCTTTAAACAGAACAGACATGCAGAAAACACGTATAATTGGTTGATTTGGTCTTACCTCAAGCAAAGGGACTTCCTATAGAACATTTGCAAATTTAGATCTAATGTATGCTTAGAAATCACCACATTCCTTAAGGGTGCCCTTCCCTCTCACATCCACTCTCACTCCTTTTCATAATTATCTGGTATGGATGGATGTATATCACTAAATTGGTCTCCAAATCCTGTCCTATAGTTTCAAATTTGAAGCTGGCAAAAAATTACACCGCTCTCTGTAGTAGGAATTTCAAACCAATATGTGCCCAAGACTTCAACGAAAACTTTTCTTGAAATACCAAGAACTGTATTCAATTTGCATGATTAACCCCAGCACCAGCAGCGGGGGCAGCGGTATGGATTTGCATTTCATATCTGGAACTGTCCCTTCTGTATGTCAGAACATTATGTTGAACAGAGGAACCTTAGGAAACTCAGAAATAATTACACATTTTCCTGAACTTCATCACCTGAGAAATACAGGACTCGATGTGTCATTTTAACAATCTTTCATTCTCTGGAATGGCCATCACTCTGGATTGTGATTAATTTGAATGCAAAAGCCCAATTTACCAAACGACAGGTCTTTTCACTGCCCTACAGAACAACGTCTGCGTTCTTTAAAGGACAAGGGGCTAAAAATATAAAACAGGGGAAACTGCTTCAGAAAGAGTGTGCCCAGTGCGTCGCCAGCCTTTGGTGGGAGCCGTGGAGGACAGCGCATTTTTGCACCAACATTTCTGTAAGCGATGCTTCCACTGCACTCAACTGCCGTGTTTACACCCTGCTTTGGGATACTTACATACTTGACTTATCTCTTAGTTTCAGTAGTTTTTAGTCAGGACTAAATAATACAAAAAGCAAAACAAACAAACAAAAACTGAATTTCTAGCGCAAGTTCTAATTAGATCTGTTCCGTGTGGAATTATCTAATGGATCGCTACGCTGCATGTTTACCAGCATGGGGAGAAGGTGTATTCTTGAAATACAGTGAATTACTTAATTTTCTTAAGTCATCCTCAGGGGAACTATGACATACGTATCTCTCTCATTTAAGATGAAGGAAGTGGAGCATTATCATGGTTTGAATTTCTGAGTGCTTCCTAGGTGCCAGGCACGGTTGTGATGTTCTCTGCACAGGAACGCATCCCAGGCTCACATTGGCTGACTTAACTGTCCCTATTAACAGACGAGGAGACTGAGGCAGAGAAAGGCTCAGTACTGTGCCTGAGGCCACAAGGCCAACTCTCTGTGGCTACACCCAGACTATGAAACCAGGAGGCTAGTGGAAAATCTCATCTCCACTCCTTACAATGTGACCCTCCCTCTGGGAGAGGGGCTGCGGTCCTATGAGTTGGGGGCATCAAAACCTGCTGTACGGAACTCAAGGGAAGATCGGTACATGCAACCCACCCTCCTCCCCTATCGCTCCCCAAATCTTAAAGAAGCTCCCGGTGGTTCCCGTCAGCACATTTTGCGACTTACCAGAGGGTCCTTTCTTGGCATTGCACAACAGCAGCGAATCTACCACCCTCAACAGCATAGAGCAAAAAACCTGAGTCCTGAGACAAAGGCAGATGATGGCTGAAAGGGTTGTTTTCAAGCCGCTAACACAAAATACCCTCCCCTCCCTTAAACACTTCTCACAGCCACTCTGCTAACCCCGCCTCACCCTCACCTGTGTCTCTATGGGTTAGGAGTGTCTGCGGCATGCTACTGCTGACAGTGGTGTGAAACGTTAAGATGGGTGACCACAGAAATAACGTAAGTAATATTCCAGTCATGTTAAATCAGAGGTTTGCTATATCTCTAAATCTCATTAGGGACTCCCCTTTATAGAAATAGCCCTTATGATTCATTGCACTAATTCCTGTCAACTGATTGTTTTCATGGCATCAACAATTAAGTAGGATCAGATTCCTTCTCTTCTAACTCCCACCACACACACACACACACACACACACACACGTGTTTCAGGGGACCTTGAACTTTATTATCTGCCCATCACTGACACTTCTCTCCCAGTGTGGCCCATCACTAGGCTTATAATCGCTGGCAAATTCACAAGCAGAAAATTGCTGGAAGTCTGAGCTCAGTGTCCTGGCAAGGCTCGCATAACCACCTGCAGGTAAAAGTGGGTGACCAACTTTGAAATGTTGTTATGGATACAAAATTATCTTAAGGGATTCAGACATTTAATCTGTGAGACTCTGGGCACTATACTAACATTACCAGGTGGAGAAACCCATCTGTTAGTGAAAATCTACTATCCTTCTGTTCTGGAAAAAGTAGGCTCAGCAAAGAAAAACACGGCCAGTGTAGAAGTATGGAATGGTATTCATAAGTTGGCACGTGTGTCTCTGTAGGCGTGCGCACACACACAAATGCACACACGATCTTTGTGAATGACTACTATAGAGTGGAGACGTTCTACTCTCCACAGTGAAAACCTCCAGCCAGGAAAAAACAAAAACATTCTGAGGTCCCACAACATGGTAAATTAATATAAACAATAAATTAAAAACACAATCAAAAATAAATCTTTGCACTCTATTTGGGGCAGAGGAAACTCTGGATGTTCTGCGTTATTTCACTTATAAATACGCTTGCAAACACCTTTGATGCATCTAAACAACCACAAAACCTCAACTCATTCATCGCTAGACAAAACTCACCTTTTTACTGCCCGGGTTCCTAAATCCTTTTCAAAATATTTGTTGTGACTCCAAAGTAAACATTTAAATTATTATCATCACCATCATCATCGCAAATGAGCACACACAGTGAGAAGCACAGACCCCTCAGCTGAGTCGCTAGTTCATAATGCAGAGGGAAGAGCAGTGGCGACAGAATCATTACGTGACTCCTATACATCAGGGTGCCAGCACTGTGTGTGGCAGGAATGTAAGAAATACCAAACGGTGCTGGGCTCTTCATATACACGGGCTGGTAGCACAAAGCACACTTTACAGGCGCCCTAAAATAGAATATGTTTAATAATTCACTATGGCCCCATCCTCCCCTGCTGGATAGCATACCCACCCATTATCTCTAATAAACCAAGCCTTTCTTTTCAGTCTGTCTGAACAATCATCCTCGTTTGGAATCTTCAAATCTTTCCCTTGGGCTATGATAAAACTCTCCAGTTTTTCTCCATCTTTAATAAATCACATCATCTAGGCTGTCATCATGCATGTCAGGCATTATCTTCCTAAAATGTACATTGAATTATACCACACACCTCATCAGGCATACGAACCTGCTTCCCACAGTCCATGGAGTTAACCCCGAATCGTAAGCATGGGGCTCCACGTGGCCGTATGCTATCTCCCCGGCCTCTCTTTCCCACATCTCAGAGTACCCTCCGTGCTCCCAGGGCTGGACTGCCCACCACGGCCTGGGCATTGCAAGGATGTCCATCCTTTTCAAGACACGCCCTCATCATCCTGCCCACCAACCGACCCCAACACAGCTCAGGGCAAGTTCCCTATTACTGAAGCCATAACGATCCTTTTACTTTCTTCCACAGCATGTTGTGTGAATTCCTATGACAGAATGCATTTAATTCTGCTTTATATTGAAAATCAAATTTCATTGTTTTCATATCCAACCCCTTCTTTAATGTACAAACTCCTTCAGAGCTGGGGTTTTTATCACTGTATTCCACATTCTCAGTAAACAAATTGTTGAATTTAATTTAGCAGTGTATAATCCACTTTGTACAACAGTCATGCTTGTTTTATTTCAGTTTCTACCCTTTGAAGTTTTAACAGCATTAGGCGAAAATAAAATAAACAAAACATCCTGTATCTCCTCCGGTTTGTTGTCCCTAAGCCCCTGAGCTGTGTAGATAGAACCGATACCGTGTTTTTTTGTACCCACAGTAATGCAGAGCACACTATTTTATATCTATGCATTTACATGCTTGTGCTGCCCAGGAGACAGAACCCTGTAGGGGCAGACATGTTTTCTTATCCCTGTCTCCCTAGGTCTTACACAGTAGTACACACAGATGGACACACATGCGTGCACATGCACATTCAAATGCACACACGCTCCAGGAGGGTTTTACAGACACTTGGATGTGCTTGCATGGCAGAATCTCCATGTACAGGATTCATTTTTTTATCTACCATTTTTTTCTTTAAGATTGTAAAGTCCAAAACTAAAAAAAAATCAATGCACTACATTTCTGACAATTTTCTTATATGTATTTAATCAACTAGGGCCTGATATCAGACTACCTGGTCTAGTACTTTTAATCTACTTGCTTAAAAAAAAGTCTGAAAATGGAGAATATTCCTCAATTTAGCAAAGACTGAGTTTAAAATAATCAATTAAATATATTGATGCACTTTTCTTCTGTCTATGAATATCTTAAACTCTACTTGTCAGGTGATCTGAGTGATGATGTGCTCAATACTCTCTGACTCTTAAGTCTCCTCATCTATAAAATAGAGATACAAACATCTACACTTGAACTTGTCCAAACAACTGTGGCAACTATTGGAGATAATACAGTAGAATGTGACTCATAAAAGTAAATGATATAACGTGGTGATTGTACTCATTAATGTGTTTGCCTTTGAAAACGCTACATTTTCATGTCACAAAAAAAAGAGAACAAATCTAGCCATAAGGTGCAACTATTGGGAAGGAAATAA